CTCATCTGTTGGATATTCCCTTATTTGAACAATTGGCTAACTATCTAATTTGCATTTCCAGCAAGAATAAGCCTCACTAATGTTACTCTCTTCAGGACAGCATGCGTCACCCCTCCTCTTTTTCTATGGTGCAAAGGAAACACCCAGCCCTGTATTAACTCCTCTTTGTCCACCTTTTGCGTACCTGTAATGATTACTCCCCAGGTATACTTATTCGAGGAAGAAGAGGCCACCTTACTCCTTCACACCCGCCCGCAGAGAGAAATCTTCATCTCCCTGCTAGTGGGACTTGGACTCGCCCTCTCCCTAGGTGCCACTGTACAAACCCATCACCTGGCAGGAGACTTTTGAGACAAGCTCGACCTAGCAATGGCATCTACAACTGACAGCCTTGAGTCTCTCCATTGGCAAATGAACTCTCTTTCCGGGGTTGTGCTCCAAAACAGAAGAGCACTAGACTTAATAACTGCTGAACATGGGCGGGGGGGGGGGGGGGGGGGGACGGGACATGGACACGTGTAGTATTGGGAGAAGAATGCTGTTTTTTTTTTTTTAATGAATCAAATGTTGTTGAGACCAAGGTTAATACTCTCAAAAACCTTTGTAACGATCTATTTTCAAGATTTCAACCCACTGAACAATTAGGTTGGTTTAGTAACCCCTTGTTTTCATGGCTCCTACCCTTTGTTAGCCCCTGATCATGCTGTGTGTCATTTTGATGCTTGCTCCCTGTTTCATACAATTTCTTTGCTGACAAATTACTACCATTGCAAAAATTACTACCAATCAGGTCATGGTCAATTATCAGACTTTGGATTCTCCCAAGATAGATGAGTTGACTCTTAAAGCTTGTGATGACACTTCTCCATTATAAAACAAAACAGGGGGAGATGTTGGGGGACCCTGCTGCTAAGGTTGCAGTCCACCATGTCCGGATAGTTCTAAGGAGCTCGGTGCTATATGGAGGACTCCCTTTCTCAGCGGGAGCTTCCTGCTCTTTGCCTGACCTTATTTGGAAAGTGCCTCCAAGCACAGATGCCTGGCCTTATTTGGAACATGACCTTGGGCATAGTTACCTGCAATAAACTGCCCCCAGGTTTTTTTCTGTATGATAATTAGGCATTGCCCTATAGCCAGATGATAGGATCCCCCTACTACATGTAAATAAAGCATACTATGAACACCTATCAGCTGAAGCTTTGGTTACCATCTCCACCCTATATTTTTCCCTGACCCCCACTGAATAAACAAGCTGTATCACTGAAACTGACTCCCGGAAGGTCTTTTCCTTCCATGCTCACTGGCTATCCTGACCCCGTTTGTCACTTCTGCTCCCTTTGTTCTCATGGGTCGGTGGCCAACGGCCCACGAGGGGAGGGAGAGGCCCACAGTAGATCAAGAGTTAGCTACATGTGGGATCTGAAACTGTATCCATAAACATTTGTACTTAGTTAATTCTGCAAAGCAGCCTTCACTTTGAATAAACCTTTAATATGGGCATCTTTCTTTTAAAACTTATTATTTTATGTGTACGAGTGTTTTGACTACATGTATATAGGTATACCATGTGTGTGCCTGATGCATGTGGAAGCCAGAAGAGGGCACAAGTTCCTCTGGAACTGGAGCTACAGACTCCTGTGAACTGCCATGTGGGTGCTGGGAACCAAACTTGGGTCCCTCTGCAAGAGCATCAGGTGTTCTTAACCACTAAGTCATTTCTCCAGTCCTCTGTACATTTTTTTTAATCATTTGGGCAATACTGGTTCACTAAGCCATGCAGATATTTCAAATACTGATATATTGCACAGTATTAAAAGCAACATTCTTCCAGGAAACTTGGAATTGGAGAGATCAGTAAGAAGTCCCAACCTTAGCTGTGGAACTATTGACAACTGATCACTGCTGTCTGAGGGAGATGTGGCCTTCTTTAAGGAAGTGATGCTAGATAGACTGACCAGGCTCCTGTGAATGAACTCACACTGAGGGACATCTGGAGCACAAACTTGACTCACTTGAACATATGTGACAGATGTAGGAAATCTACAGGTGAGGAGAAAGGATGGTGCAGATAGGGAAGGGGGTCTAAATTAAATGTACTGTACAAAAGCACAAATATTCAATAAAAAATAAAAATAAAATATAAAAATACAATTTTTCTTTGGTCTTTTTGAGACAGGGTCTCCCTGAAGCCCCAGCTGGCCTGGAACTCACTGTGTAGATCTGCCTGCCTCTGCCTCCCAAGTGCTGGGATTAAAGCATACATCACCATGCCCAGCAAAATTAAATTTTTTTTAAAAAGTCACATTCAGCTGGGTGTGGTGACGCATGCCTTTAATCCCAGCACTCGGGAGGCAGAGTCAGGCAGATCTCTGTGAGTTCAAGGCCAGCCTTGGTCTACACAGTGAGTTCCAGAACAGCTGGGGCTACAGGGAGACTCTGTCTCAAAAAGACAAAAAAAAAAAAAAAGTCACATTCATATTAAAATGTCACCATAAATCATAACAGAAATATTTGGGGAAACACTAAGAGCATTGTCAACATTACAGTGGAGATTATGTCTTCAAAAGTTTTAATTTAGATTTTAAAACTAATCATAAGTATTTATCCTCACTTGTTTTCTTCAAAGTAGCAACACTTAGTTCATTTTTAACAAAATGGCTGCTAAACTTCTATATCATAGTTTGTCATTCTTTAAAGAATGCTCAGTGAAAAAGTGGGTATCTTGGTTCAGTTGACAATCTCAACAATCACACAATGTTTTTCCTAAGGCAACAGTCTTACAACAAAAGTGCTTCAAGCGAATATTCTGCCCAAGGGTTATGATTTTCAGAAGGTAACTTTTGCTCCTTTGTCAAGGACATTCCTTTGCATTGTATGTGGTGGCAAAGATTATAAAGTACAGTTGCATGTCACTACCTTGATCATGCTAAGTCACCAGCATTACTATTCATTTTTGCTTTCTGTACCATCAATGCATACATCAACACAATGAGAAAAGCAAACAGTGTCCAAGTCTTAGTATGAAAGCAGTTTTGACCTATGGGCCCACAGACTACACTTTTGACAACTACTTGCTAAACACTCTTTCTTTCATATTACACCTTGGAAACTTCTCTTTTTTTTCTTAGCTTCCTTACTCTGTTGGAATAAAAGCTGCATAGTATTCTATCACAGTTAGATCATATGAGTTTCATACTGGTGGACACAGCTTTTCAGTTAATAAGTTATATCATACACAAAGACTATCTATGGAGAATATGTATCTATGCATACAGATATTGAGAACAAGTTGCCAAAATTGAAGTGCTATTTCCTCCTTCTGTGCTCAGTGAGTTCCCTAAGATTTAGGCCTCTGTGGGGCTATTATGGGGCACAGTGATTCTTGTTCTATCAGAACCCTGAATATGTGCACACTTATATTTGCCCTGTGGAAGTGGGACTGTAATGAAGTCTCTCATCACTGATCGTCTTATTTATTTGTGTTTATAAATCTGGTCCTTTACTATTATCCTAATGGTGGTCTCAGGATGGGACACAAATATACAACATGCAGAAAATCTACAGAAATGCATAGCCTGACTCTTAAAACAACAACAACAACAACAAAAACAAAAACAAAAAAAAAACCGGGTCGTAGCCGGGCATGGTGGCGCATGCCTTTAATCCCAGCACTTGGGAGGCAGAGGCAGGCGGATATCTGTGAGTTCAAGGCCAGCCTGGTCCACACAGTGAGTTCCAGGACAGCTGGGGCTACTAGGAGACCCTGTCTCAAAAAGACCAAAAAAACCCCAAAAAACAAAAACCCAGGGTCTTATGTAGCTTACGAATGGCCTTGAACGTAGTTGAGGATACCCCTGAACTTCTGATCCTCTTCCCTCTAACTCCCAAGTGCTAGGATTATAGGCATCTGCCACCATTTACTCAGTGCTTATTCTTGAATTAATGGCTTTATACATGCAAGACAAGTACTCTACCAGCTGAGCTACATCCCCAGCCCAAGTTCTTTCTCAAACTATTTTTTTTGGGGGGGGGAACATCAGCTCCCTGTAGCCCCCAGCTGGCCTGGAACTCACTATATAAACAACACTGACCTCCACCTCAGAGTTCTGCCTGGCTCTATCTCTCAAACTCCAGGATTAAAGGTATAAGCTACCGTGCCTGGCTCTTCCTCAAATCTTTAAACTAATTACATTTGTGGGCAGATATATGCTAAGCATATATAAAAACAAATCTTTGGAGCCGGGTGATATTTAAAGATGCTACTGGCTGCCAGGCGTGGTGGTGTATGCTTTTAATCCCAGCACTCAAGAGGCAGAGGCAGGCAGATCTCTGTGAGTTTGAGGCCAGCCTGGTCTAGTGAGTTCAGGCCAGCTGGGGCTACGAGGAGACCCTGTCTCAAAAAAAAAAAAAGACCAAAAACAACAACAACAAAAAAACGAAAATGAAAACAAAAACAAAAACAGATCTTTGAGCTGGGCATGGTGGTGCATGCCTTTAATCCCAGCAGGCGGGAAGCAGAGGCAGGTGTATCTACACAGTAAATTCCAAGCCAGCTGAGACTACAGGAAGACCAAGTCTCAAAAAGAACAACAACAACAACAAATCCCACAGATTTATGAGGGGCTGTAGAGCTGCAGTAAGAGCACTTGCTGCTCTGCTCTTAACAGAGGATCTGGGTTTGGTTCCCAGCACCCACATGGTGGCTAACAATTATCTGTAAACTCCAGTTCCAGGGCAGCCAATACCCTCTTCTGACCTTCGCAGGCACTGCACAAAACAGGTTCACTTACAGGGTCTCCCTGTAGCCCCAGCTGTCCTGGAACTCACTATGTAGAACAGGCTGGCCTCGAACTCACAAAGATCCGCCTTCCTCTTTCTCCCAAGTGCTGGTATTGAAGGCATGCGCCACTGCGCCCAGCACACATAAAATATTTTTTAAAAAAACAGATATTTGGGTATTAATGAAAAAAGAAAGAAAGAAAGAAAGAAAACTGGCTTACCTTGGTGATCCATGTGGATTTGTGCCAGAGCTAGCAGTGGAGGTAAGATTCTGCTCTATGCGCTGGTAATTCCTTACTTGAGTAGGAACTGGAATTGGGGTTGTTTCGCTGTGAGGTGACACAGTAGGTTGACACTGCCTGCCACCATAATTTAAGAAAGAAAAATTGGTCAGAATAGTTTTCTTTCATTTGATGTTATTGATATTTAGAGAAAATTCTAAAAACCTAAATGACCACTTCTGAATATACATAAGAAATAACCCTGTTAAAAAATATATACCTCCAAAACTCACATCTGTCAAGAATTCTGGCATTTATATGCATGTTGAAAACTAAGAACTTTATCAATAACCTAGAAAAAAAGTTCTTCTACAACAATGGGAAAAGCCCACCATTTGCAATGGTTTCATCTACTCACATTCTGCTATTTAGTACTATATGAAAGGAAAAAGAAAAAAAAACATTTTTAGTAAATAAGTTGGGTAAAAGTACAGGGAGTTCAAGAGCAAAGATGACTAGAGTATTTATAAAGGTCATGAATGCAGCAACTCTCACTACTGACAGCTTACTGTGCTCTCACAGCATATAGCTGAGAAGAGGACCACATCTGAACATGAGCACTGTAACAACTTCTTCCTCGCTTTTCAGAAATTCAGAAATAGTAAGCCCTTAGCTCACTTTCAATTCATTTTATAATGTATTAGGGACTGTACAGAGCTGTACAGTGGGAGTTTGATAAAATATTTCACTATATACCTATATGACAATCTCAACAATAAAGAAAAAATTTTAAATTAAGAGAAGTTGGGACTGGAGAAATGGTTCAGTGGTTAACACTGGCTGCTCTTGCAGAGGACCCGGGTTCAGTTCCCAGTACTCACATGGTGGCTAACAACTGTCTGTAACTCCAGTTCCAGGGAATTTGACATCCTTGTCTTACCTCCACAAGCATTGTACTACAGGGTGCACTTATATACATCCAGGCAATACACTCATACACATAAAAATAATAAATATACATATATATATATA